TATGGCATCTGGTTTGTGAACTGTGAAGTGGGAATTGAATTTTGTAGGCAATTATTATTAAAACAATATGAGAATTTAGAATGTATTTAAGGTAATAAGTTTCGTGAAAGTTAATTAAGGCATGCACAATTTGTGAACAGTGGCTATGAGTTTTTGTTTGAGTGGAGGGGTTGAAGTAGGGAAGAATATGATATTGCGTGCTGTGGATAGGGGTTGAGGAAAGAAGTTGAAGTTGGCATGGGGTTGGACAATTTTTAATTTTTTTAATTTTTAAATTTATATTTAATTATTTAAATATATACTACCATTTTACCCTTTTAAGTTTTCATCAAATTATGATACAAGTCAATTTTTCTGGTTAACTAATGGTCATATAAACAAAATTTACTGGTAAAATTGAAATTCTTGTTGTTTAAATGTTATGTGCAGTAATTTATTTCTTTCTGTGTCCTGAACAATTTATATATATAATAGATTCTCTAATGCATTCTTTTTCACTTTTTTAGTTTATTTTCTTCTGCTGGTCCTTCAAATATTCCAGTTTCTTCTTCTCAGCCCATTATCCCTTCTGATATTCCATCGTCATCTACTTCGATTCTACCTCCTCCAACTGAGTCCATTCCCAGGACTTCCTCGGATCCTACTGATCCATGAGTTGCTTTTATGGGTCAGATGTCTGTGCTCATCGAGCAGCAAGCTCGTATGATGGGCAATATCACACAGCTGAGAGCTACCTCAGAGAGTCACACTACTGAGTTTCCTACACTTCGTAGCACGATTGCTTATGTATTGCAGGGCATTAGGTAGATGCGCCAGTATTGGGACTATGACGGTGACAGCGATGACGATGGCAACGATGACTCGGATGGTGCAGACGACACTGCAAATGATAGTTGATAGGATTCCCCTTGTCATCTGTGACAAAAATAGGGGAGTGGTTGTAGAATTGTTGATATTAGATATTTTGATTTGTGACATTGGATATGTTGACACATTTTTTAACAATTATCTGGCACTAATATCTAGATTAAGTTTTTTTTGGATGTTTTGGCAATATTAATATATGTTGTTTTTAGTTGTTTGGCTTACGTTAATATTGTATTTTAATCTAGTTAATGTGATTCTGCATCTATTTAAAATTGTCTTTAATTGCTCTTATCTATGATACTATTTCACATCCTTTTTTATACTGAGTATGTGAGTTGTGATTTCAGGAAACCTGTTTGCTACATGCAAAGCAGGAGGCGTTTGAGTTTGTAGTTTTGGATAGTCTTGCTAGTCACTTTTGATGTAATGTATGTTTTGTCACAGAATGTCAAAGGGAGAGTTTATTAGGTTTAATTATAATTGGCAATTCTATGGACAAAAAGGGGTAAATCGAAATAGTGTAAAAGATGAGGAGTCATGGAAAATTTTGTATAAAAATAGTTGGTAGGTTAGGGTTCAACTTAGAGACAATGAAAGAAGGTCCGCCGCATTTTTGCTTACTTCTTGCCAACACACTGCTTGAGTGGCACAAATAGAAAGGACGTCGCTAACTTCTCGTCAAGACCTCACTTGAGCAAAAGACCGTTGCTAGTTTTTCACTGGACAGTCACTCAAACGACAATGTTGCTCGTAAAACCAAACTTGCATTTTTTGAGAGTTTTAACAAGTCAAAACTACCAAAAACATCCTACATAAATACCTGCATCGTTTCACGAAAAATATTGGATTGTCCATTGTGAGATAACACTTGCACCCTTCAAAAACATACAATCCATTCTTCATTAATTTTGGCGACTGAAAAATATCAAAACCTGAAATTCAAACA